GGTGGCTATTGTTCTGTCGTTGGGCTGTTTTTCTTGTGAAAGTGAGCTCATCTGCAAAAATTTCAACTGAGAAGAAAAGATCCTCCCTGGAGAAGAGTCTGTATTAATGGACATTCACGAAGCCACAGCACACAGCTCCAAAAAAAGCAAACGCCCATGCATATTGGAGGAGATTGATTTAACAGTAAAAGGCCCTGATGTAATACTTCATCATTCTCACTGTTACTCTCCTGATATTCCATTTATTTTACTCAAATTAACCTAGTGGCATCTGACTGTATGAGAACACTAGTGAATGCAGTCTCATTCAGCACAGTATACATGTATATTTTCAGTTTCCAGTGCAGCTGGGCACTCAGGTGTTACCCCTGAGCCCAGACCATACTTGCTTTATAGCGAGACCTTATGATTGCCTGTGGCTTGGAATGAGTGTATGTCTGGAGGAGAATATGAGAGCAGCTCTCAGGAGGCACTGATAGATACAAAGCAAAATTCCTGTAAATGTCCAACATTCGCAGCTTCCACCAAACCTGTGAGTTCAGGACTTTATGAGAGTTCAGTAGTGAGCACAGGAAGTGGGAGCTGTGTGGCTTTCAGCTGACATCTCTGTATCATCTTTATGCTGGGGTAACTCTTTCATTTCTATTTTTATTTTATTTTTAGTTGAAATCTTTGATGCGGCCACCAAAGACAGTGAGAGATGGACAGGACCAAGTGAAGGAGACAGTTGCCACAACCAGAGCCAGTAAACATGTTGCCAAACAGAACCCTGCAGGGAAAACACAGCACATCTCTTCAGCGGGCACCACTGAGCCTCCAGACCTGGCGCTGGAAGAGTGGAAACAAGTAGGTGAAACCAAGGACTGAACCCCTCCCGCACAAAACCAGCAGGTGCTCTGTTCAGGCAGTATGTTTGAGCCTGAGGGAGCTGTTTCTTAATAAAAACCCCATCATTCTTGGGAGTGTACTAGCCAGCCGTTAGATATTTGGATGTTTTTTGTAAACCTGGTAATAAAGGCTTGTGATTTTATACCTTACAATTTACGCAGCGTATTCTTCGCCATTAGGAGGAGGGAACTGCTCAGTATGCAGTGTGTTTGCATGCCCTCATGTGGCTGGATCTGTTGGTACATAACGTGGCTGTCGGTTTAAAGAGGTCAGACTTCGCAATTGTTGGCGATAGCGAGCACCGGTTTTTTGGCTGCGATTTTGACAGCTGAATGTTGATACTGTCCCCAAAAAACCCAGCTCCTGAGACCTGCAGGCTGGTTACTCAAGAGTGGGTAGTTTGTGTCCTCTGGCTGTTCATTTCCTCCTGAATATTGGAGGCAATATGAGGCTTTTGTCATACTGTAACTTCATAAATTGTGACAATTTGAAAAGCTTAATTTGCACAGCAATTTAGAAGCTCAAAATTCCGTTTTGTAGCAGTTTATTTTTCTGAGCTTCTCTTCAAACAACTGCTTTCAGGGGCAGACAGTTTTCTTTTGCTTCTTGAGAAGCAAATCCGTTTCTGAAAATGTGATTTCCCAAGATACCTATCTATCTGACCTACAAACTAGGGCACAAGCACCCCCCCTGTCCCAAATCTGACACTCCTCCAATTACCTAAGTGCCCACTGAGCCACGCTTACAAATATGAAGTGGAGTGTGTTAGTGTAAACCTTGTCCAGTGAGGTTTAAGCAAATATATTTCCATAACATTTGCTACTGGCTGGAACTCTTAGGTTAGGTGACTTTAAACCATGATAATTCATCCTCACCTCTGAATCCTGCTAAAATGCTAATGTGCAAGATCTTGTTTTGAAACATGAGCTAACCAGAGACAGCAAAGCCAAAGGCAACTCTTGTGGTGTTTAGAGCAGGCGCTCCCAAGCTTAGTTGAGGTGAAACCACTGACGTGGTTTTCAGGTCCGTACTGGGAAATAGAAAATTCCTCTCACACCTACACGCAGAGTTGGCAGCTTTTGCTATCTTTGACATAGCCCAGCTGCCATTCCTGATGCACCTGGTCAGGAAACCCCAGCTGTAAAAGGAGGTACGTTTCTGAAATGATATTTCATCTGAAAAAAAGTTCATACAAAATCTAGAGAACGCTTTTTAAGAAAAGTAGAACAAAAGTTTCAGCTTTTTCAGACCTACTTGTGAGCTCAGGTGTGTTTTTTCCCTCTACTATGGGGCTTTTGCTATGGCTAGTAGCTTGGACAGCC